TTCACTCACTGCTGTTCGGGATCTTTAAGAATAGCCCGAACAGCAGTGAGAAGCCTGCCGGGGGTTCGGCTCAGCCGATCCAGATGTTGGATCGGCTGAGTCGAACTCCTTCTGCACTTCGGGTCGGCCGAACATGCTGAGCATGTTCGGCCGACCCGAAGCCACACGAAGCAAGCAGATGTACGGCTGATTTCAGCCGTACCAGCCTGAAGTGAATAGCCGAACAGTGTTCGGCTCACTTCACTTCTGATCGGTCATTCACTCGGCTGCCCTCGGCAGCTTCGTGAATAGACCCCATAGTGTCAGCACTTGGAGAATTAATGTCCTTTTTTTAAACTTTTTTTTTTTGCTTTATATGCAAAAGTTGAAAAAAAAAGATATGACCACTCTTCCTGATGCTATAACCTTGGGACAGGAGTGAGGGCTGGTATTTCCGTGGCAAGCAAACATTAACAGGGTTATTCACAAAAGGGTGAAGAGTTTGGAGAAGGCAGGAGAAGTGAACAATCTAGGGCAACATAGCTGATTTGGAAAAATTTGGACAATGCTGTCGAGATCCACCCAGCTGCGTGAGAGACATCGGGCTCTACCTATCTAGAGGCAGAGCCAGCTGTGCCCGCCCCCTCCCCCGTCCGTGCCTCCTGTCAGCACTGGAGGATCGGAGCGGGGAGGAGGGGAATCCCTGCAGGGAGCAATGACTGACAGTCACAGCTCTCTGCAGGAAGATGATCGAGAAGTGAGTGAATGGTGGTATGTGTTCGCTCACTTCCCAATCTATTGAGTCGACATGTGACAGTTTTATTGTCACACGTCGGCTCGAACTATAACTTTAATGCTCCAAAAGTAAGTGATAGCATAACTTGTTACTTATATGCCACCTTCCTGACCCCCCACAATGGGATGCAAATGGGTTTCCTATCCTACCTAATTGGTGGGTTTTATGGGTGCTTTAGACTCCAAATCATTTCACCATGTGTGCAGATAAAGAAAAGTTAAAATAAAACAAGCACAGTATTAAAATATGTTTAATGTCACCATTCACCATATGATGTCATCATTCACAATACTTGTACAAATATTTACAATTAGTGATGTGACAGTGTACCCTAGGAAGACGCCCAGAGTTCCTTACACCCATAATATTTTTTTTCAAAAGGACTAAGACTAGAAGGAGGGATTTTGCACTCTCATCATGAACTAGAGGGGAGGAATTATGTAGAGCACAGCAGTAAAAACACTTTTATTAGTTGGGGAGGGTTAGAACCCTTGGAAGCTTTGTTTCCTGTCTGTGTCCCTGTTAATGAGATTTTCTTAGTTACTGTTGAATACCCAGTACAGGAAGTGGAATACATTCTCACAAAGGGAAACGAGATCTTAAAGATCAACTCTGGGTACCCCCGCACTGCAAGGGTTAAGTGCTCATTTTGCTTAGGGTCAAAAATACACTGTGTATAGAATGTGATGGGACCTTAGACTGCTTCGGGGGGAGAGAGGCTCCAGGGCCAGCTCTGAGGATCAGGTGTGAATGACTATTTTTTTTTTACCCTAGGCAAAAAGGAGCACATTATTGCAGTGAGGGGGTAGCCCTAGGGGGTAGCCCCACTTACCTTAAGTTCTGCTTTAATTAAACAATAACAGAAGTTTTGACCCTTCCCTGCTCTATCCAGATGGTTGGCATTCTTTATTAAAATGTTAACTCAGATAGTGCCATAATTGCTGACAAGACTCATTTTTTTATCATTTATTTCAAGCCAGTGTTCACTTAAAAAGAATAGTAAGTTAGCTTGCAGTGTTATTTATTTCTCTAAACATTTATTTGTGAAAAAGATTCTAATGGCAAGGTCAAATAATGCTTTATCTATCAATCTTATGTGAATGAAGATAGTACTTTGTGATTTGGCACATATATCTAGGCAGAACAATATCCTCAGAACAATTGTCTTTATTATACTCTGCAGGCTATTCAGGTTGCAAAACCTAAAACTGTTTGGGAAATTCAAGAAAATAAGACACTGGCTTTGTCATGAAGAATGGTCTGCATCTGTATATACACAGTAAATGAACAGTAAATGGAAATCTTACATGAGCACATCAGTAATTGTGTAGCTTTGCATTGTAAAGGATTCGAGCACCACAGACAGCGCGGGAAACTAATTTATTTCATGCTGTAAGTGGTGTCCTAAAGCATTTATGATACTTAACTACAATTCACCAGTGTCACTTCTCCTGTGGAGAAACACACAGACAATATATGGTTGGTTTTTTTTACTTGATTTTTATTTAACTCTCTTAAGTAAACGACAATACATTTAACATATCTGTATCAAGAAACAAAACTAGAACAAACCAAGTACTGCTCAGTATCGCTGAATAAAGTTGCGCATAACACTGGCAGGAATACTACTTGCAACAGTGGTCAGACTTTTATGGCCTGTCATACGTAGTATATGTACCATTTTATGTTAAACAGAGCTAAGCTAAAACACCCATGATGAGTTAAGAATGCTGTACACTTGGGCATTATATAATATAGAACCACTTTCAGCAGAATTGCTTAGAAAAACAAATGACAGAACAAGACGGGCCTCTTTCCTTTCTCAGTATTGATCAGAGTTCTGTACATCATGAGTATATCATGAGCCTATGTACGATAGTGTTACAGTGTAAAAAAGCAAGACAAAATTTACAATTTTTGCACATGGAAGAAAACAGGAAAAAAATTATTTAAACTTATTTTAACTTAAAATATGTTGCATTTATTCTCCATTTAGTTTGCCTATATGACTCCATTGCTATATTATTATTTTTTTTAAATAAAATGTCTGTAGAATATACAGAGATTATTATAAAAGCTCAACTGAAAGAATAATACAATATCTGAATAAAAGAGGTCACATGATCCAGAATTTAAGGTTCTATTTATTGGTATCTGCAGTAATGGTGGAGACCTTGGAAGAAACACATTTTAAAACGCGACATTGACCTATGGATTTAGTACCTCTATTATGTTCAAGTTCTTTCAATAAATTAGATTGGTGTATCCTGGTGTGCATGGTCTTTATGCTTGGAAAAATACTTCCATTCAGACACTAGCGTGTCTGAAAGCTTAATTGAGTGAATCATGACAAATAATCACACAGCATTGAATTTTTATTTTTCCTTTTTGTCTGTCATGTGTGAATTTGCTTTTTGAAATTAGCTCTAAAGTGCATTGGAGAGTTAACTGTTTCTCCCAGCTTTTTGTTATTTTTTCAAAGATGAATATATGACTTCTATTTGTTTTGCTTTTCGTGTTGCTTTGTTTCTTTTATGAAATTAACATTACATCTTCCAGTGGTAAAAGAAATAGCAATATTTTCCACTGACAGCATACCTGCATCCTCAAATATAAACATATTTACATGCATTGCCAGGACAAGGTCCTTTAGAACCTAAGGCAGGGGAGGACAAATTAATATGGAATTCAAGAGCCAGTCTGTCCAATCCAGGAGCCAGCAGGATTTTTCAGGAGCCAGCTCCATTGGCAACAGTCATTGACTGTTACTTGCTTACTTACTTACTTGCTTCTTACTTAATTACTTGCTTTCATGTGGACATTGTTGTCTCTAATGTTTTCTGCCTCATTTATGAAAGTATACAATTATAAACTGCCTCATTTGCTGATAGCAACTGGGTGGTTTCCAATTGTTAGTCCCATGCAAAAATTAGATTTTAAAAGATTGCTGTGTCATAAAACAATTATGGAGGCTGCCTTAGTTGCCTAACTTTCCCGTAAATCTCCTGCCATCAATACTCTGTGAGTCACTGAGGGTTAAAGGAGAACTATGGGGTCAGTGTTTTTCCCCATAGTTCTCCTTGGGGTAACGGGAGGACACAAACTAGCGTCCTCCCGTTACCCTAAGCTCAGTATACCGCGAGCTACAGCTACAGCTCGCGGTATACTGAGACGCTGCACCTGGAGCGGATACCGACTTAGATGACGGGATCCGCCCAGCTGCGTGAGTGACAGCTGGCTCTGCCTATCTAGAGGCAGAGCCAGCTGTACCCGCCCCCTCCCCCGTCCGTTCCACCAGTCAGCGCTGGCAGATCGGAGCGGGGAGAGGGGAATCCAGCCCCTCCCCCTGTCACGGCAGAGAGCCGTGACAGGATCGAGAGGTGAGGGAACCCGGTATGTGTTCTCTCACCTCCCGATCTACTGAGCCGACCTGTGACAGTCTCATTGTCACAGGTCGGCTTAGAACTATGAGGTGAGTGGAAATCACTCATGTCATAGTTCTCCTTTAACAAGTATGTAGATCAGGAGTTTTGACTTCACATGCTGTACACATGTCCTCAGTTGGTTTTGCAGCCTCCTGTGTCATTTGTTTCCTCACTTGATGCTGACGATGCTGACTGATCGCCAATGAGCGAGCAGTGACAAAGGAAGCTCCAAAGATGAGGTAAGATGTGGTGTTGTCATCCACAATTATGACCATCTATATTTTCCTTAGCTCACTTCTCTGTTCCAAATTGCTTGTGTGGTATAGCACCTATATTTGTACTCATAAATTAATTAGCAATTCTGGAACTCTGACACTAAGGTCTCGTTCACACCTAGGCGTATTGCATATGCGCGTATGTTGCGCGACCGTCGCGCAGTTTTTTTAAAAAAGTCTAACGACAAACGCGCGTTTCTGAAGGCTACTTGGCTGTATCCCAGTGGAAACGCGCAACAAAACGGCCCAAAGTAGTATATGTACCTTTTAAGGCGTGGGCCGTTTTGTAGCGCGTTAGGGACGGGCGGAAATACGCCAAGGTGGGAACGAGACCATTGAATACAATGGGATTTATATTTTTGAGCGTTTTGTAGAGCGTTCGTCGAGCGTAGAACGCGCTACAAAACGTTCAGGTGTGAACGAGGGCCAAGAGTTTATAGGGTTTATTAATGGAAGGAGTAATTAATTCAAGGTCGATATAGTGTACACTTCACTCACGAATTGTTTTCTTAATTGTGTCCACAGGTAGAATGGATAGAACAGCAAGTGGTCAAGAGGAGAACGAAGAGGGATTATAAAGTTACTAACATACATTCTGCCTATTTCAATGATCCGAAGTGGCCAAGCATGTGGTATATTGTAAGTACAATTACTAATGCATCTTTTATTCCTAGTAAAGGTTTTCTGTATGTGTGCTTCAGTGGCAGAAATATATTTTATAAATAAGATTTTATGCTGTGTTGTGATGACACTAAAAAATAGAACCCAAAAGACAAGACTTCAGTTGTTTCCAACTGGTGGCTTATAATACAGCTGGAAAACATACATTTCAGATAGACACTGCACATACATACTGTAGGATCATAATAATAATCTTTTATAGACTGGAATCATTAAATGAGAAGGTGGTATGTGGGGATGAGATCCAGGGCCCACAAAGCAAAGTCTTCTTCGCTTCTCCCGAAACCTCCTGCTCTGTTACTTCCTTGTCAACGCCTCCCATGCTTGCCTTCAGGACTTCTCTAGGATCTCTCCATCCACTGGAACTCCCTCCCGGATGTTGGCCAGACGAGTCTTTACACCATAGCACTGAACCTTTACCCATTATTTTCATACTTACATTAATTAGCAATATGAGCCAGTATGAATCACATTTAGTTGAATCCTTGTTTGCTTTCAATATGAGAACTAGACGTGTCAATTTTGTTTAATTCCAAATGCAAATTCGGGTGACATTTTTGGAATTCAGAGATTTGGATACATCTGAATGTCCGAATGTCAATGAGGCCAAATGCAAACAAAAACGAATGTTCTTTTAACTAAATTTCGGATCCGAATGATCTGAATTTCGGATCCAAATCTCTTTCAAAATGAAACTAAATTGGACACGTGACCCCCATCAAAAATAAAACGAAATTTCGAAAGATCCAAATCCGAATAATGAAACGAAATGGCGTTCGGACCCAAAAGGAAGACAAATCCAAAATGAAACACATTTTTTGCCGGCTTACATGTCTAATAGGGAACTAGATAATGGCAAGCTCGATCTCAATGGTCAAGGGTGCATTAGGAACTTCTCTATATTCTGTAGTTAGAGTGGGTGCAGGCACATTCCTCAAGTAACGTGTTAGATCATTGATGTATTGGACACATGTACACATTAGCTGAAGAAAAATAAGCACAGTTTAGTTGCAAATCATTTTACAATGCAGATAATATAGGATGACATTCTGATTTCCTGCACTAATTTCTGGTGTGTAAAAGATGAGGGGAAGAGAGGGGAAATTATAGATTTTTAATAAGATTATACTATAAGTATTCAAACAAACATGATAAACAATTTGAATGACTTTACAGCTGGACCAAATATACTGTATCCTAAAATTTGCCTGAATATATTCTATAATATAATACAAATGTATGTCCTTGAATTGTTGCATAATTAGTTTTTTTTCTTTAAAGGGTCTTCCAAGATCATTCCGAATTGCACACCAAGTTTCTGCTGATTTTAGCATGTAGCAGTGATTCCTTCCATGCCTTCTCTTTTAAAGCAGCAGAGATCTTGTCCCAAATATGCTCATATTCACCTTTGTAGAGCCTGGAAGTTTCACCTATTTCTAGTGTAGGTTTGGTTTAAGAACATGGACAGAAATTATACAAAGGATATTTAAGTATACTGGTGTTATTAGACTACATTTGAAAAGGGAAGTAACAGAGGGGTCTATTCACAAAGCTGCCGAGGGCAGCCGAGTAAATGACCGATCTGAAGTGAAGTGAGCCGAACACTGTTCGGCTATTCACTTCAGGCTGGTACAGCTAATTTCAGCCGTACATCGGCTGAAATCAGCCGTACATCGGCTTGCTTCGTGTGGCTTCGGGTCGGCCGAACATGCTC